TATTTCTCCTTTTTCTCTACTTGGAGTCCCAAGGAAATATTTATGTCTTAACCATAATAATTATGAGACATATGGCTTATACTATCTTGACCTCTTATGATGAAATGTACATTTTTCCTGGTGTTGTATTTACTAATTTACATATTTATCCTTTATGGTATACGATTTTATATGGCGAGTCAAATAAATCACCTTTGGAATGAGGTTAAGATCAAATATATTAGTAAATTAAAACAATTATTATATAACTATACACTTGTTGATATGTTGAGTGACAAGTGAATAGGAACAAAACTTTAAAGAAACTAAATTTGTTTTACACTTAGTATACATTAGATATATCTTTTATTATTGCTACATCAGCAGGTAAAAGTGCCAACACTCATTTCCTAATCACCATTCTCTTCAAAAGCCAGGATCTATGATGATAGTTTCAGCTTTTAATCACGGCCACAGTCATCCATGTCCTGTCTCAAGATTATTTAGAAAAATGTAGCTTTCCAGGTCCTAACTATAGATTGTCTAATAATTTTTTTAAATTAAGAGAAAAAGGTATAATAAAAGAGAAAATTTGGGCTTCCCTGGTGGCGCAGTTGTTGAGAATCTGCCTGCCAGTGCAGGGGACACGGGTTCGAGCCCTGGTCTTGGAAGATCCCACATGCCGCGGAGCAACTAGAACCGTGAGCCACCACTACTGAGCCTGCGCGTCCGGAGCCTGTGCTCCGCAACAAGAGAGGCCGCGACAGTAAGAGGCCTGCGCACCGCGATGAAGAGTGGCCCCCACTCGCTGCAACTAGAGAAAGCCCTCGCACAGAAACGAAGACCCAACAGAGCCAAAAATAAAAAAATAAATAAATTTATTAAAAAAAAAAGAGAGAAAATATGGTAAGAAAAAAATACTTACATACCAAAAGTACTATAAATCCCCAAATTCTAGATCTAGAAGGACACCTAATATGTCCTAAGCTCTTAAATTTCCATAAGGAAAATTAAGCAAGTGATTTATTAACTAATTTAAACAATGAGAATAAATGCAGAATGATTATATACTTATTTTTTATCCCAGTATTTATTTTTGTTTTACACATAGGTATTAATATATTGATTATAAAATGATGATTGATGAAGAAAACATAAAAAGATTTTTTTGAAGGATTATAATATAATTATTGTTTGAGAAAGGAATTAAAATAAAATGAGTATGCCATAAAATGAATATAATACATATTTATATAAGGAAAAGACTGAGTACTATTAGAGTTAAATAAGAGATGTCATCTGTAAAATGTGTTTACATTTAATAGCATAATACTTCATAGCCTGGTTATGAGGATGAAACGAGTTAACATATTTTAAAACACTTAGAACGTTGTCTGCCATAGAAGTAAGCATTAAATAAATATAAACTACTTATATGAACTTGAGACCCTAAAAAAGTTTTTGTTTTTAAAAATCTTTTTTTCACTAAACTGGTTTGGCAATAATGTTATCCTCCTCAGCACCGGAACTTATTTGGATCAATCTTATATGCACCTCTAACACCTAGATTTTAGTCTCTATAAATAACATTATGCATTACGGTCAACGAAATGTAGCTGAATCTATACTTGGGGGGTGGGCATAAGATCAAGATGTCATTGGAGGAAAGCTAGAATATTTTAAAGTATATTTCTGGTTAATAAGAGGACAAAGAAGCTAACATTCAGGGATTCCCAATAGTCAGATTGTGACAATTTATATATGTATATGAATAAGGTAAATCTGCAAAATCTCCTGCAACTTTAATGATACTCAAAATTGGAACGTTTAATATGATGCATGTATGTATATAATATATATAATTTCATACAAAAGGAATATAATTCTAGTAGGATATGTTTAAATTTTATTACTTTTAATAAGTATGGAATTGTTAATATATGAATATCTTGATTCTTCATTTAAATATGTACCTATTTATAAAATATAGATCAGTACTTTTTTCTATGAATATAATTAGGGAAAACACATTTAATGTTTATTTAACATTGTCCAATTAAGTCTTAAAATCACATTATTTTAGGCAAATATGTCATATTTCAAAAGGTGAAAACCTATGCAAAAGCTATAGATTTAAAATATTATTATTATTATTTAAAGTATTATTATTTAAAGTATTATTGATATAACAAAAATAATGTTCAAATTATAAAAGAGGTCAAGTCTGTTAACAGTCTCACTTTGAAAGGAGCAACCTGAATTCAATTGGTTGATAACTCAGAAACTACTCTGGATTAGGTAATATGATCCTCCTTTCTGTTTGATTTTAGAAGATCACAATTGCACTACACAATGTAGAAAACCATAGCTGATAAAATTATTGTGTAATACATAAGATTAAGATATAAATGTAAAAATATTTGTATAATAAAATAATTGTAAACCGAGTTCATAAGTTTGTAATCATTTTGATAATTTGTAATTTTGTCTAATTATATGACATTTAAAACATTTAACAGACTTGTATTAGATTTAAATATTTAACTTAATCTAATATGTTTTAATAATTATCTAAACGTACTAAATATACTTGTTTTGAAATATTAGTTATGTAATACATATTTAAATTTTTGCATAAATAGTGGCTGATGGATATAGATAATTAATTATTTCAGCTTCAAAATGTATAAAAAATAATCAGAGTTCCTGTAGCCACAAAAGTCCTTTGGACATTAAACATTCTGTGAACAGCAAATAGTGAGTTCATTCTCTATCTCGGAGGTTGGTCATAGAAAATCATGATGTAAAGGAAAGTTGCCACCAAGTTTGTAATCTTGCTTTACATTTGTATGCTCTCACTTCCTTTCAGAAGCCCCTTCTTTTCTTTCTCCCCAGCATTCTACCTCATTTTCTCCCCCTAATCATAAAACTACCCTGATTCCTAGAGCATGGGTGACTCCTAGCACCCATGCTCACACCCAGGTATACTAGAAAACAAATTGATTGTCTTCATCCTATCTTCTCTATCACCTGTATTTGCAATTTTTTCCCAAATATCGCCTGACAAAAAATAAAACTAAGCCTAACAGACTTAAGTTTTATATCATCAACACAGACATAATGGAATCTAGGGGAGCAATTTTGAGGCAGAAGTGGCCTTCCCTATGTCAGTGACTGACTGCTTCAACCAGGCATCTTACAGGCTCTTATGCATATGTATGTCCTCCAGAACACAGCAGTGAGTCAGGTGGGGTGGGGTTGGGGAGAGGTAGAGTAATAAGACACTACCAATGATTGCATATGTTTGTCTACCCATATATTTAAGTTAAAAATAAAGCAAATATTGCTCTAAATTAAGTTCAGGACAGCTTGATGTGGAATAGATAAGATAATTAAGTAGGTAGGTAGGTTGATTGAGAGATAAAGCTTCCCTTACCTAGTCATTGAACTGTAAATGCTGGTGCCAACTTGCTCACTGTAGGTGGAATTGACTATTTGATAGCTGTGACAGGTCTTTGCAAAAATCTAGAAAGGCACAATCATATAGACATCTAGGATCTTTCAGTAAATAGATTTCTGGTCTGAATAATGCAGAAAACTTTGCATATTTTGCCACCACTGCTGATTTGGGAGAAAAACAACTGATATACAGGCTATTGAGAATTAGCGTACTTGTGTTAGAGAGTATAGACCAAAGAGAAAGGTATAAGCCACTAATACTAGTACATCGTGTTTTCTGGATTTGCTGTATCTGTCTTGAAAAGACTGCTCTATTGAAGAGAGGAGCAATAAGGAGGGTTGTTTATTTGCTTTATTAGGAGTTTTTCAATGTACATACTGAAAAGTATTAGGTTCTGTGATACACCGCATAATATTTTCAAAAACAAAAGGAGTATACTTAGGCCCCTATCTTGGTATATTTGGTGTATGTAAAGTACCAGTCTAAACTCCTTAGCCAATTATACTTTAAAAGATAATATTTTGATTTTTCTAGTGCCTAGCTCGATGTTCTTGAAACTGAATCCATTATCATTCCTTTATTCTTTCCTTTTCTCCTTCACACTCCTTTAATAGGGTGCCTGGGTTCTGGGTTAATTAGACATAATACATGAAGATTATACAGACAAAAATCAACTATTCCATTCTTCAGGGTGTAATTTTAACTTAAAAATCTTTTTGTGACAAATTACATAGCCATTAGAGTTACATATGAATTATTAGCACAAAGATCACTGGCCCTTCTATTTCTTAGAGATTATAATCCTCAAGAATTTAATTCAAGTAGGATTACCTACTAAGAAATGATCTCACCCAGTAGCCTATCCTTAATTTAGTGTAAGACCCCATCATAAATGAACTGTTTTCAAGAATTTTAAGAAATCTCTACATTTCATTAATTAGATATATGATCTATTTTTTAAAAATGTATATATTCTAGTATACATGAATGATTACATGTGGTGTCTTTTTTTCTAATAAAAAAACTGGGACACTTGGGAGGGAAGTTATAATCAGAATCTTAGATATTAGCATTTCAGAGGCATTTCTTCGGTTACTTGACTACAAGCAGAATTTTTAGTGTATGCTATCTTATGTCCAGAAGAATCTATAGCAAATAGTGACTATAATAGACAGTGGAAGAATAAAAGCAGTTAAGTGTATATTTTAAAGGCAGAGAGAAAAAATTAAAAATCTATTTCTTACTAGATTTCAAAGGATACTTCAATTCTAAAACTATCTGCTTTTATGAACAGAATTTTTAACCTCCCCAGACTACTATTTATGTGAAGAAGGCAAATATTTCAGGGAATTTGAAAATATCTCAGGAAGAAACACATTGTTTTCATACTTCTAATCATTACCAGTTTATACCATGATTTTAAAAGTTGAAGTCATAAGCTATTGCCTCACTAAACTTTAAAGTTTTATAAATATGTATATGTGTATATATATATATATATATATACACACAAACACACTATATATATATGTATATGTGGAAAGAGCAATACTTTACTCACAGGCAAACTGAAGTACAGCTTCTCTACTAAGAACACTTCCAAACGTGTTGGCTGCCAAACACTGATAATGGCCAGAATCCTTTGCTTCACTTGGATTGCTTATAATGAAGGCCCCATCTATCAAACTGTAGCGATAATCACTTTCTAAATCTATTTCTGTTCCATTTCGAAGCCATCTTAGGAAAAATCAGAAGACAAGTACATAAAAATTACTTGAGACATTATAATACTCCCTGGGAGTGTCAGAATCTCATTGAAAGGAATTTTTAAGACTTAAGAAAAATGATTAACAGTGAATTTCTACCTGTAATTGGGAACTGGGTTGCCACGAGCTTCACAATTCAGTGCTAGTTTCTTTTCATCAGAATCAGTCGGGAAAATTATATCATCTGGTTCTTGCACAAACACTGGCCCATAGTCCACACTTTCTGTAAGAACCAAAAGGAAACAAAATTTCTCGAAATATCAAGACATTTTTTCTCCACTATGTTCCTACTCAAAATTCTTGCACTTTCCTCATAATAAACAGGCATATTACCAAAGAAAGATATAGCTAGCAAATTACATTGTTTTAGAAAATTGCAGAGACCTAAATGGATTTTTTTCTGTCATTGACCAAGACTGCTTTTAAAAATGTGATATATGAAATGAAAAAAACACATCTCAAACATAGATGTTGTACATTTTAAAATATATATCTTTGAATTCACCAAAAGAGGAGCTAAGGAGAATAACATTAAACAAAAACATTATTTTAAAACACCCAAATTTTGTAAAAGGAAAATCATGAACTAATATAGTGCTACTACTTGGGTACTACAGACATGAAAATGTTGGTCCTCATGCATTTTTCACATATTCCTTTCTTCACTCATTCAATCAAGGACTTTTAGTGCTTAATGATGCTGGATTGTAAGAGGAAAATGATGTAATGCAAGCACACACATTCTCATGGAATAAATGAGACATGTCCTCAAAATAAGTCAAATAATTGAATAAAGATGACAAAACTGTATACAATTAAATGTTTACCAGCTGGTAGATAAAGTGAATAAGGAAATCAGAAGAGAAGAGGCATAAAAAGGAAGGCAGCTTTTTCCTTAGCTACAACCAAAAAAAATTACATGAAAATAACTAAAATGTATTATTGTATACCAAATTGTATTGCTGTTACTTAAAGTTTTATTTTAAAAGAGGAAAATAAGTGATTTGATAAATAACTTGAGTAAATTATTGTCAAAATATTATACTGCATGTTGTTGCATCATAATGAATTTTTAAAAATTCAGAAAAGCACATGAAACCTTTTCAAAATCTCAGTTAGAATTAAACTGCACAATCAAGTCATGAAAAAAGAATTCCTTCTGGTCTTTACTCATTAAAATATAATTATTTAAATTAATATTATAAATATCTATGATGCATAAGATTAACTTTTAATAAATATGTCTTATATTTTTATATGTATTTTAAAATTCTTGAACTTTAGAGTTAGACACTTGGGTTTAAATTCTAGTACCATCATTTTGTAGCCTTGAGCCAACTACTTTTATCCTTTGCTGCTTCATTTATTAATTGTGGATAATAATGTCTCCTTACAATATTATTATGAGTATCGATCAACATTTGTAAATACTTAGTATGTCACAAGTACTTAGTAAATTATAATTAATAAGAATAATAAGTAAAGTTTACTTGTGTTATAATTACTATATGTCAGACATTATACTGAATAATTTATAAGCAATATATCATGTAACACTCATAACAGCAATGTGACTAGAATTAATTTCCTCATTTTATTTTTATTTCTTTTATAGAGCAGTGATTTTTAATTTTTCTTTTTAGCAGTAGTGCCCTTTATTTTTTAATTAATTTTTATTGCAGTATTGTTGATTTACAATGTTATGTTAATTTCAGGTGTACAGCAGAGTGAATCAGTTATACATATACATATATCCACTCTTTTTTAGATTTTTTTTTCCCATATAAGCCATTACAGAGTATTGAGTAGAATGCCCTGTGATATATGGTAGGTTTCTCTTAGTTATCTATTTAATTTTCCATTTCGTAGAAGAAAAACTGAGGCTGAAATCAATTAAGTAAATTTGTATAGTAAATAAATGATAACTTTGGGACACAAATCCAGGGTTTTGGAATATAGAACATGATTACCACTACCACTATCGCTACCACTACTATTACTATTATTTATAATAATAATTATTATTATTATACATTTAAAAAACATTTACAACCACTTTCATATACTATTATTTAATTATCTGAGTTGAGTTTTATTATTATTTGTAATTCAAAGTTGAAAATGCTGAGGTTCTGAGAGGAGACTTCCACAAAATTAGCCACGTAGTAAATAGTTGATTTTAACTAGGTTTCTATGGTTCCAAATCTTATATTCTGAAAATTGTCAAACAGGACAAGAGAAATAAAGGCTTCCCAGACTGGGGGAAAGCAAAGAGTTAAGATCTGGTAAATCACAGACTGGAAAATAAGGGACTAGTCTGAAAAACATGTATTCTGACTGCCTGTACTCTGTTAGATATCTTTGTTCATTGTCACTTTGAAAGCATTTTAGTGACTCAGTGAGCCCTCTTCCTCTCTCTCTCTCTCTCTCTTTCCTCTTTCTCTTGGTTTTCCCTTAGAAATAAAGTTCACTGTAAGATGTGGAAGAGCCTGGGTCTATGTAGAGCTTTCCAGTCCCCAGCAAAGAGTAATCAAAGATGATTCTATCTCTGAAGGGATTCGTTTTTAAAATTCCAAACCAACAAGGTATTATTATAGACAAACTCAGACAGACTATTTGATGCATACACCTGTAGTAGTAGACTCCATCTATTGATAAAAATGATGCATTGCAGGAGACCTTAAGATGGCAGAGGAGTAAGACGTGGAGATCACCTTCTTCCCTACAAATACATCAAAAATACATCTACACATGGAACAACTACTACAGAGCACCTACTGAATGCTGGCAAAAGACTGCAGACTTCCCAAAAGGCAAGAAAATCTCCACGTACCTGGGTAGGTAAAAGAAAAAAGAAAAAAACAGAGACAAAATAAAAAGGATGGGACCTGCACCTCTAGGAGGGAGTTTTGAAGGAGGAAAAGTTTCCACATACTAGGAAACCCCTTCACTGGCAGAGACAGGGGGTGGGTGTGGGGGAAGCTTCAGAGCCACGGAGGATAGCGCAGCAACAGGAGTGCAGACGGCAAAGCAGAGAGATTCCCGCACAGAGGAACGGTGCTGACCAGCACTCACCAACCTGAGAGGCTTGTCTGCTCACCCGCCAAGGTGAGTGGGTGCTGGAAGCTGAGGCTCGGGCTTTGGAGGTCAGACCCCAGGGAGAGGACTAGGGCTGGCTGTGTGAACACAGCCTGAAGGGGGCTAGTGCTCCACAGCTAACCAGGAGGGAGTCCAGGAAAAACTCTGGACCTGCCTATGAGGCAAGAGACCATTTTTTCATGGTGAGCAAGGAGAGGGGATTCCTTCTTTGTCTGCCCACAGAAGGCAGTGGACCACCTAAATGAGTGCCAGAGACAGGAGTGAGCCACGGCTATCAACTCAGACAACAGAGAAAGGCATGAAACGCTAATGCTGCTGCTGAAGCCACCAAGAATCCTGGGTGCAAGCACAGGTCACTATCTACAACCTCCCATGGGCCAGTGCAGCCCACTATTGCCAGGGTCCTGTGACCCAGGGACAACTTCCCTAGGAGAACACATGGCATGCCTCAGGCTGTTGCAATATCACGCCAGCTTCTGCTGCCGCAGTCTCGCCCCACATTCTATTTTTAACTACCGTACACCTACCTTCCCCTTGGCCTGAATTAGCAACCATACCCTAATCAGCCTCTGTTTTAACAGGAACTGAAGCCTGGGGGCAAGCTACATGCAGAGGTGGGGAAAAAACCAAATCTGAACCCCAGGGGCTGTGTGAACAAGGAAGAGAAAGGGAAATTTCTCCATGCAGCCTCAGGAGCAGCGAATTACATCCCCACAATCAATTGGATATACCCTGCATCTGTGGAATACCTGAATAGACAACAAATCAACCCCAAATTGAAGCAGTGGACTTTGGGAGCAACTGTAGACTTGGGGTCTGCTGTCTGTGACTGACTTGTTTCTGATTTTTATGTTTATCTTAGTATAGATTTTAGTGCTTGTATTCATTGGTGGATTTGTGCTTTGGTTTGGTTACTCTCTTCTTTTTTTCTATTTTTTTAATTTTAATTATTTTTTAATTTTAATTATTTAATTTTATTTTTCTTTCATTTTTTCTCACTTTTCTTCTGAGCTGTGTATCTGATAGGGTCTTGGTGCTCTGGCATGGTGTCAAGCCTGAGCCTCTGAGGTGGGAGAGCTGACTTCAGAACATTGCACCAACAGAGACCTCCCAGCCTGACATAATATAAATTGATGAGAGCTCTCCCAGAGATTTCAGTCACAACACTAAGAACCAGCTCCACCCAAAGGCCAACAAGCTCCAGTGCTGGATGCCCCATGCCAAACAGCTAGCAAGACAGGAACACAACCCCATCCATTAGAATAAAGGTTGCCTAAACTCATACTGAGTTCACAGACACCCAAAAACACACCCCCAAATGCAGCCCTGCCCACCAGAAAGACAAGATCCAGCTCCACCTACCAGAACACAGGCACCAGTCCCCTCCACGAGGAAGCCTACACAAACCACTGAACCAACCTTACCCACTGGGGCAGACACCAAAAACAATGGGAACTAAGAATGTGCAGCCTGCGAAAAGGATAACACAAACACAGTAAGTTAAACAAAATGAGAAGACACAGAAATATACAGCAGATCAAGGAGCAAGATAAAAACACACCAGACCAAACAAGTGAATAGGAAATAGGGAGTCTACCTGAAAAATAATTCAGAGTAATGATAGAAAAGATGATCCAAAATCTTGGAAATAGAATGGAGAAAATACAAGAAACGTTTAACAAGGACATAGAAGAACTAAAGAGCAAAGAAACAATGATGAACAACACAATGAATGAAATTAAAAATTCTCTAGAAGGAATCAATAGCAGAATAACTGAGGCAGAAGAATGGATAAGTGACCTGGAAGATAAGGAAATAACTACCACAGAGCAGAATAAAGAAAAAAGAATGAAAATAATTGAAACAGTCTCAAAGACTTCTGGGACAACATTACATGCAAGAACATTTGAATTATAGGTGTCCCAGAAAAGAAGAGAAAAAGAAATGGTCTGAAAAAATATTTGAAGAGATTAAAGTTAAAAACTTCCCTAACATGGAAAAGGAAATAGTCAGTCAAGTCCAGGAAGCACAGAGAGTCCCACACAGGGTAAATCCAAGGAGAAACACACCAAGACACATATTAATCAAACTATCAAAATTTAAATACAAAGAAAAAAATATTAA